CAAGCTCTTTCTCATCTTCTACGCCGCCGCATAGGTAACCTGTTGCGAACGTCTGCAACCAGTTGACGAAGCGGTACAGGTCGGAGCGCAACGACTTGTTGACTTGCAACCACATTTGCATATTTACGGCCGACTGGAGCATCAAAAGTCGGACCGCCTTGGCCATAGGTCCACGACAACTTTAGCTTCGTCCTTGAGGATCCATTCCTGGATGTCGCATTTCAGGACCTTTATGAACTCGTCGAGCATCTTTCCAACCCGAGAATCGGCGCTCAGAATCTTGGTTTCGAAACGAATGGTCGCCTCCAGGCGTCTCTTGAGGAGAACGTGGTCTTGCGACTCTTCTTCGAACGCCATACTAAACACGCGATTCACTCGAACTCCGTGATTTCGTCGTACGGCCGGTTGAAATCCCGCAACACCGCCTTGTGAGGTGATCCACACATGCGGACACGTGCATCACGAAAATGCTTAGCTCCGGAAGTCTATACCGCATTGATTTGGCCCACATACTTCTGGTATGCACGAATAAAAACGCGGCGCTCTTGCTTGGCCGAGCGGCTAAAGCTCGGAGCTTGGGAATCACCGGCGTATGAAAAACAATCGGGATGTCTTCGCCCCATGTCGACGTTATTCTGCGACGGCTGTTGACCCGCTGTCGAGCCAATGATTCGTGGCAGCTCTTGTCTAGTCGCTGCGCCAGGAAAATTGTTGTCCTAACCTGCCGAGAAGTCACTTGACCGGAGTCTAGCGACCAGCCTCCAGCTGCCACTTCTGCCGCCTGAGCGTAGCCAAAGTCCCCCTCCAGGGCATGTTCACGTTGATCGGCTGTGGCTGTCGTTGCCGCGGGGATCGGAATGGCGCAGGCACCGACTGGAACGTTCCACGGCTTCGGCGCGTATGGTGTCGAGATATAAAACCACGCTCCCTCGACCGCGACCTGTCATCGTCGCCACGAACGGAGCTACTTCTCATTACCTTCCTAGTCAGCTTACTTTGTTCCCCTCAATACAGCACCAACTTGCCAAGACACCAGGACTCCGGGACGACGGCCAATATCCGGAAAATTATCCTACCAAGTCCTCCCGTGTGGCTGATCTAGCATTCAGTAACCGAACTCAGCGAGGTTGGACTGGAATCGGGGCGCTCTCGACACACAAACTTCAAAATACAGTCAAATTGATAAAAGCTCGACAGAGTGGTACTCCAGGTTATATGGAAATGTGTATGAAGAGGGTTGTTGTAGATTTAGAAATACTTTTACACTTGAAGTTGTAAAAGAGTGCCTGGTACTTGTGTAGCTATTTTGATTCGCCCAAGCAGGACAAAATATATTCAAAATAACCTCTTGTCCAGCCGCTGATCGGCATCCATAAAGTCACATATACCCTGGACGACACGAATTGGTACGCGCAAGCGCCGCCATCGTTCGCCTCACACAATGCGTTGCAGGCGTGGCAAAGTGACCCTTCGAAGAACCACGTGCACAAGGCGGCGTCCATCTGCCACATGCTCAAGTTCAGCAGCGCCAAGAAGCGCATGTCGGTGGTCGTGCCGCTGTCCGTGACGAGATGCCGCATCTTCACCAAGGGTGCGAGTGAGATTGAGTTGGAGCTGTGCACGTCGCAGCTCCACTTGGACGGATCCCGGCCGCGTTCTCCGCCGCCGAGCGCAACGCCATCAACGCCAACATCATCGACAAGTACACGTCGCAGGCGTATCGCACGCTGTGCCTGGCGTTTCGAGACGTGGACGCATCGCCCGATGCAGTCAAGACGTGGCCCGATGAAGATGTCGAAAGGGACCTCACGTATATCTGCATCGTCGGGATTGAAGACTCCGTGAGCGAAGAAGTTCCCGAATTGATCCGCCAGTGCAACGAAGCAGGCATTGTCGTGCGCATGGTAACTGGCGACAACATCGCGACGGCGAGGTCCATTGCGTTCAGACCACTTCCAAGCCATTCTCGACGTCTTGCGGGACCTCGTGTTACATGGCACCAGAGATCATCCACCGAAAAACGCACTGGGGCCAGCCCGCCGACGTGTGGCCATTGTAGATGCTTCAACTCCACGACGCTCGCAACCATACATGGACACACCAATTTCACACCGCTCGTTTTCAACACTTGCTCCTCTACCGGCAGCTAAGCCTGGACCTCTTGCCTGATGCCGTCCGCCCTGTCCTACAACACCAACTGTTCGATCACATAGAACACATGGGCCTTCCACGCAGCATGGTGACGACTACGCTGACTGAACAGTGACAACGGCTTGTCCACACTGTATGATCTGTTGCTCGCTCGAGCCGAGTCCATGTGTCGCGGCATTGATTTCCCTGACTCGACGCCAACGGTCCATTTGTCCTCGTCCGTTCCGTCCCATATTCCTGCCACGTCGTCACTCACTGATTGCACTCCTCCATCCGATGCAAGGACGGCAGTATTGAATAAGACAATCGATACATTTGCAACGTATGTTTCACACTAGCTGAGCTCATGGCTGGTTACGTTCGGACGCCACGGTGGGCAAGGCTTCATGAACACCTTCCTGATCGTTTCTTCGTTTATTGATTCCCACGTTGTGATGGTACGTTCGATCATTTTCATTCGCTTTTCCGCAGCAGAAATCACGGGCACTTCACGCAGCCATAGGGCACGCATCTTTGCCTTTAGAGGGCCAATCACGCCGACATCAAGTGGCTGACAAACACTCGTTGTGTTCGCTGGCAGGGGCTCCAGAAACGAGTACAATTCGTCTTCTACGACCTGTCGTGCTGGGACAGACACATGTGCAAACAAGTTATCCACCAGCAGCCTCGATGGGCCGACAAGCTCAAATTTAAGGAGCTCCCTCAGGTAGAAGAGTCACACGTCTTCATCCATCCACTCCGTTTCTTGAACGGCGTAGACGCGACCCGTTGGGTAGGTAGACAACTCGTCGGTTTCAATTTGGCCACCGACCACCCCAAGTACAATAGAGAGGATCGGCAGTGTCGTTCCTACATAACTAATTATATCAACTTTACAATTTTGATCACAAACCATCGGCACATACGGCCAACACCGCCGTCGTACGGTCGGAATGCTTTTCCGAGGAGTCACTTTTAGTGTCGACGCCAATCTCACACCAAATACGGCGTGGTGGCATGTCATAATACACTGCCGTCTCGTCGGCATTTATGATGTCGCGCAATGGGACGTTGCTGAGCTTGGACCAAAACGGTGAGGCAATATTTCCTTTTTCTCAGACAGCTCGGCTTGCTTCAATTTGGAGAAGCAAGGAATTCGCTGAGCAAATCCATGACGGTGAGCAAAGCGTTGGCACAAGCCGAGGAGTCCAGCGTAGTCAGTGCCTGCTGACGCCTTCTCGCCTAAATACTGGTCGACCCAAGCTGGCTGGTGGGTCTTTATCCACGTGACCATGTGGGCCGTGGTGAGGTGGTGGCCCTCATCACGTACAGTTCGCATGAAATGTACCAAGTCGTCAATAAATTTCATTTCGACGGGTCTACCTTGGCCTCCAAGG